CAGAGGAAGCGGAGGAGAGGCAGAGGAGGGGAGAGGGGGGGTGAATTGCAGCAGAGGTTAAAGCAGGGAATGGATCTGCTGCCGTCCCACCTCTGCTTGGAATTGTTGCTCGAAGGATACTGGCCCTACCTTCTCAAATGCACGATTTCGCAGCATGGTCAGACTGGCCCTCGAACGCAGCTGGACCTCTGCAGATCTTTATTCTGGCAGGGTCCCCAACGCCGCTACGACAGGCATCGGTCAGCCTGCCATTCAACATGATTTAAGCATCTCACTCCCACCACCCCCGCAGTGACATCCTCCCCCCACCGCCATCGCCCCGACGAGGGACACATGTGAACTACTGGATTCCGCGTGAGCCGTGGCGGCAAAGGAACGATATGTCATCGGTGACGCAATCGTACAGGACGCAAGCTGGGTTGTCGCATTCTGCGCTGCACTTTGGCAGCATGGGCCTGTCGCATGTGTGTTTTCTGCCACCCCCGTGCCGTGAATCCTCCTCCACCTCCTCATTGGGGTGGCCCAGCCTGCGGCGGCGTCGGGGGGGTCATAATTCCGAGCCGATATGCCACGCCTCTCAAAGGAGTCGGTGCGGGTGCCTCTCGCATGATATTTCGAGCAGAGGGCAGGGGAAGGCGATGAACGAAAGGAAAATCAGAGAGAGGTAAGAGGAAGGAGCAGTGTGGAGAATGCGGATGTTCGTATTCGCTTGCTTGAACAATCGGTGATAAGCAATGGGGTGGTTGGCCATACTCGCTCTCCTATGAGAAGTATTTTTGCCGAGATGGCTGCGGACGGGCACGCTTCTGGGCCACTGGAATCACCATGCATATCTGATCAGCCCTATTGGAAAAAAGGACGCGTCGCCGCGCGCGGTCCTGGCCAGATGCCAAGACTCGCCCTTCTCGCGCGCCTTGTCCGGGGTGCTTTGACTCATGATGGCGGGCTCCAGCTTCGCCACTCACACCCACTGCTGCGTCTTCTCGCACTGTGCCCTCGGCGGTGGCCTCGGCGCAGGCCTCGGCATGGCGCCGGGCCTCGGCCTGCGCCTGCACCCCGCGGGTCTCCTGGAGCTGGTGATCGGCGTTGAGGTCGAGGACACCTTGGGCCCGGCGGGCCTCCCGATCCCATTTTGCTGCCTTCGTCCAGCGGGGGGCTGCAGGTGAGGCGCGGGCCCCAGCCTCGGGCTCCGTCGGCCTCCGCCTGGCGGCCCAGGCGCGATGGCTCCGCCGCGCGCGCGGTCTGGGCGCAGCGCTCGGCCTCCGCCTGGGGCGCGGCCGGGGCAGGGAGCCAGGCAGCGGGCGTCCAGGGCCCGCCCGCAGCCGTCGGCGGCGGGGCATGCCGAGCGGGGCCGGAGGCGCGGGCGGGCCAGCGCTCCGCCTGGCGCTCGGCCGCCGCCGCCGCCTCGGCCTCAACGCGGCTCCCGGCCTCCGCCAAGCGCTCGGCGTCCGCGTAGCGCAGAGCCTCCACGCGGCGCGCGGGCTGCGGCTGGGGCCCGGCGCAGAGCTGGCCGACCTCCGTCTCGGCCTCGGGGTCGGCCGGGCACTCTGCCTCGAGCTGGCCCTTGTCGGCAGGAAACCGGCGGTCTGCGGCCGGCGCTCCGCCCTCACCCCAGTTGGGCCCCCGCCTACCGCTGCGTTGCGGGCGCAGGGGCCCCCCCGCCCCCCATCCGAGGACTGCGTCTCGGGCGGGGCGGGGCTGGGCGAATCGGGAGGTCTGGCGGGTCACGGCTCCCGTAGGCCCGATGGTTGGTGGGGCTGCTGCACAGAGGGCAGCCACGGCGGCCACCGCTGCACTGACCCAGACCATGCTGCGGTCGGCGGTCCCGTGCCCGAGGTGGCGGCGTTGTGGCAGGCTGTGCAGTCTGGAAGCCAGTGTTCTCGAAGCTGTCCGTGTGGGTGTACTTGTCCTTGTAGGCGAGGCTCCGTCATGCCCTGGTGACACGGGGAGCTGAAGTGGTTTGGCTCGTTGCTGGGATCGAGCCCCGCGGCCTCGGCGGTGTCCTCGAAGGTGGCGACGGCGCTGACGGGCTCGACGTCAGCGGCTGACGTCGAGCCCGTCGAAGTCGGGGGCCTGCGTGGCGAGCTCCTCGTCAGGCTGGCCTGGGCGCAGGGCGACGTGTTCGTCGCTGTAGGCGGTGCTGCGGACGCCAATGCTCTCACGCAGCGCCGCGTGGGCGGACGAGGGCGCTGGGTCCGCAGATGCCCCTTTCTTTTGCGCGCCCAGCCTCCAGCAGGCGACAGGCTGATGCGCGAGGCCGTAGTCTTGATGATCCGAGAGCGGTGTCTGCGGAGATGCTGGAGGCGACGTCGGTGCCTCGGTTATGTAGGCGATGTACGGTGGCAGGATCTCCAGTTCTAGGGCCAGCTCGAAGAGCGCGGCCTCTTTCCGCAGCTTGGACTTGTTGTTGATGGCATCGTGGCCGGGGTGAGCGGTGCCCATGGGATGGCCCCATTGCCCCGGCGGCCTGGTCGGCACTTTGACATCGTAGCGCAGGTCGCCCGTGGGCGCAAACATTGGCGCTTCCGGGTTGACGAAGGTTTTTTTCGGGTCCTCAATCGGCGCTGCCAGGGGCGATGCGTTGCAGCGTTCTGGTCCATGACGATGATGCCCATAGTGCTCAGCTCGGAGACTGTGAAGCTGTTGCCTTGACCTCTTGGGCCAAGTATCGCCGGTGCGCCATGTGGTAGGAGACCTCCAGCACGCGGTGAAGACATAAACCCTTCATCACAGCAGAGCTCCGATGGCACAGAACTGGGTCGTCTATGGGTTTGGATATGCGGATGCGAGTAGCATCTCTTAGTTGCATCGCTGCGGGTAGTGCGGCTTGAAGCTCACCTGAGGATCCGAATGGCTGGCCGTGTCGCTGGCCGTGAATGCGCAAAGTCGCAAGAATGGCATCTCCCATGGATGTGTTGAAAGAACACAATCTCGTAACTACAGAAGCACAGTATAAACAAAAAGGCGGGTGCCTCCTGTCGGCTCTTGAGCCAACATGGCTACGGTCTGCTTTTCCTCGTCGTCCTCCTCCTCCTCCTACTAGTCGGCGTTGGATCTTAATCAAACTGATCCCCGACGTAGGGAATCTGTTCACTCGCCCCCCGCGCGACTTACGGACTCTGACAGGCACGCAGGTTGTTCTGCCGGGGCCAGGGGGTGAGAAGGAGGAGCAACAAAACAAAACAATCCCTGCAGCCCTCATGATACCGTACGCACGTTTTTGCGATCCTCTCTAGAGTGATTGTGTTCGGATCCAGTGATGGACATTTCCTGTGCCGCATCTTTCCGCATTTCGATGGGAGATTTGAGTGCGACTTTGAGAACGACGAACCGAAGACGCAGATGACGGATCCGCTGCGCCCATGCCCGGAGATGCCAGTTTGCCAGGAATACAATATGTGAAAGGGCGTGTTCTACCGCTGCTGGCGGAAAACCGGGGGGTGTCACTACCGGTTCGAACCCCATCCCCCCCCCCCACCCCCCCCTCCAGAAAACAGGGGGGGGGGGGGTCGCTACCGGTTGGAGCCCCTCCCCCCCCCCTCCCCCGTTCATCATGAAAAGAGGGGGGGGGGGGGGTCACTGCCGTTTCGAACCCCCCCCTCCCCTTCGAAAACCGGGGGGGGGGGGGGGGTCGCTACCGGTTCGAACCCCCCCCCCTCGAAAACCGAGGGGCGGGTGCGGACAGTGGTGGGGGGGCGGTGGCGATGGGGGCAGTGGTGAGGGGACAGCGGGACAGTGGCGGGGACAGTGGGACAGTGGTGGGGACGGTAGTGGCGGGGGCAGTGGTGATGGTCGGAACAGTAGGGGCAGTGGACAGTGGTGGGGACGGTGGTGGTGGGGGCAGCGGCGTGGGGACAGTGGGAATGAGGTGGAAACAGTGGGACAGTAGAGGGTGCAGTGGTGGGGACAGTGGTGAAGGCGGTGGCGAGGACGGCGGTGGGACAATGGGACAGAGGTACAGTGGGGACAGTGGTGCGAACAGTGGGGCAAGTGGTGGGAACAGTGGGACAGCTTAGTGGGACAGCGGAGGAGTCAGTGGGGCAGTGGGGGCAGTGGGGATAGTCGGGCAGTGGTTGGGGCCGTGGAGAAAGTGGGGAGAGTGGAACCCTGGTGGGAACAGTGGTGGGGACAGTGGGGACAGTGCGACAGTGGTGGGGGGCGCTGGTGGGGAGAGTAGGGACGGTGGTGGAGCCAGCGGGGACAGTGGTGGTGAGGACAGTGGTGCTGGGAACGACAGTGGGGGATGTGGTGCGGGCGGGCGGTGGTAGGGACCGGGAGTCGTTTGCAGGCGGTGAGTGGGGGTGGTGGTGGGGGGGGGGGGGTCGAAACGGCAGTGGCCCCCCTCTGGTTTCGAAGGGGGAGGGGTTCGAACCGGTAGTGACCCCCCCTCCGGTTTTCGAGGGGGGGGGGGGGGGGGGGGAGGGGGGGTTTTGCTGGGGAAGGAGGGGGGGGGAGGGGTTCCAGCAAGGGGGGGGGGATTTTCGGAGGGGGGGGGGGGCGGGTTCTGGAGGAAAAGTGCGGCAATTTTCCACGGTGAAGCGGCGGTGGATCACGCTCTCTCCAATCTGTGAGCAGTTGGTTGCACGCGCCCGGGTGCCCTCCGCTTGTTGGGCAACTTCGGCGGAAAGAGAGAGAGAGAGGCGGAAAGAGAGAGAGAGAGAGAGAGAGAGAGAGAGAGAGAGAGAGAGAGAGAGAGAGAGAGAGAGAGAGAGAGAGAGAGAGAGAGGAGAGAGAGAGAGAGAGAGAGAGAGAGAGAGAGAGAGAGAGAGAGAGAGAGAGAGAGAGAGAGAGAGAGAGAGAGAGAGAGAGAGAGAGAGAGAGAGAGAGAGAGAGAGAGAGAGAGAGAGAGAGAGATGAGAGAGAGAGAGAGAGAGAGAGATGAGAGAGAGAGAGAGAGAGAGAGAGAGAGAGAGAGAGAGAGAGAGAGAGAGAGAGAGAGAGAGAGAGAGAGAAAGAGAAACACAAAAAGAGCGCAGGAGCCGCCGCCACGGGGCGCGCAGATGGGCGCTGACAGTGAGGTGTGCAACAGCGACGGCGAGAGTGGCGGGCAGACAGCAGCTGGCGAGTTTGCAAAGCTTGCTCGGCTCCCCGTTCTCCATGCGCCCCGCGGGGCCCAGGGGGCGGAGCTGCCGGGGGAGTCAGCAGAGCCGCTTCGGCTTCCCGTCTGCACCTGCGCCCGCTCGGGCCCAGGAGCAGCCTGCCCCTGCTGCGATCGAATCCAATCGTTTGGCATGGCTGTTCTACGAGATAGAAGAACCCTGCGCGAGCGGAATTCGATTGGCCCTGCTTCGCACTCGCGCGCGCGCCGGCGAGCCAAATTGGACGACGCAAGTTCGAGGGGAGTTGGAGGCCCCGAGGTTCGGAAGCAGCCAGTGGGTGGCGAGGAAGAGTTCCGAAAACCCATGCCCGATCCACAGTGCGTGGACATGTTGTCCTAGGAGATCGAAGCGCAACTGAACCAATGGTGCCCGACCGGCCCTGTTTTGGATTCGTTTCTTCGCCGGGTGAAGAAGTGGGGCGGGCCTCGAACGCCCGCGGGTTCCCGCGGTAAGACGGGCGAGAAGGATTTCTGGACAGACGAGGGCCAACCCGATGATTTGGAAATGCTGTCTCTGGAGGTCGACTTGTTTTATCGCCGGAGAGCGAAGAGGGTTTGGGAAGATGGGGCCCCTGAGGTTCAGAGGCCACCGATTGGCGCCGATGACGAACTTCGAAAACCCATGCTCCTCAATGGTGACTCTGAGATCGCAGCGCTTCTGGGTTTCTCCAGTTTCACAACGACCCGCGAAGGAATCGCAAATGGCGTCTTGCAAACAATTTGCGCGGAAGGGGGATGTCCATTGGAGAATTTGTTGAAGCATTCAAATTTTGCTTCGCCGTGGGAGTGCGCAGGTGCGGAGGAGGTGGAGAGGGAGTTGGCGACTGAGGCAAACGGGCCGGCATAATTGTCCAACGTGGGCCCCCTTCTGACCTCTTAGTGGTTGAAGACGCAGCTAATGAAGGGTTGTCATCGAAGAGCGGACGCGGAGGCGCAACGGGCGATTTTTAGACGGCGTCTATGACAGCATGTGGGGTATCATTGGCCATTATTTCCAGCGGATGAATGGCGGCGCCAACTGGCAAACGGCGGCGCAGTCCGCGCCTTGCCAAACATGGAGCACGCTCTTTCGGAATGGGGGGGCATGGGAGTTTTTGCCATTTGGGAGGCAAGCGCGCAGCTGCTGCCACGTGAAGATTAAAACGCAGGCCAATTTGCACACCTAAGTTGGAGACCGATACGCATGAGCAGCCACTTCGTTCTTTGGAAGGAGTTGTCGTGCCAATCGTCAGCACGTGCCGCTTTCCCAGATTTCCTGAGTTATTGTGGGTGACCTTGCAGAAGACGACAAGACGAAGTGGCTGGCGAGCCAGCGCCAGGTGAAGTAAACAAGAGCAGGGGCCGTGCACTTCTGAACGCATCCAACGCGGGGGAAATAATCTGTCTGGACGCACGGGGCGCCGATCGCACTGGCGAGGGCATCTCGGAGTGCATGGTGCCCCCCTCTCTTCTCTTCCTCGGTCCTCTTTTCCGTGGGATACAGAGAGTAATATGGCTCGCCGATTAAAGAGGGGATTCAGGGATCCCTCCTTGTGCAGGCCCGCTCGCACGCGCCATTGGCAACGCAGTGCCCGCGGCGCCACGCCCCTTGGTTTCGTCGGGGAGCTACTGACGGGTAACGCAGGCTTCCCTGCGAACGGGCCGCGCGCTCGCCTGTGGTAGGGGAAGGGGGGAGGTGAGGGCTTTGCGTGAGGAGCGCAGCGTGTGCACTTCCGCGCCGGCCTTGGCAGTTTCCTCGATGAGGTGTCGAAGGGCTGTCGTGTCGTGGATGCGTAACACTCGCGCAGGGGAATTACGCATACGCTCTACACTGCCCCTTCGCGGGCGCATTGACGTTGACCCCCTCGTGTGGATGTCCCGTCCTGTCCTGTCCCCCTCCTCTTCGTGCTTCTCCCCCTCCTCGTCGTCCTCCTCCCCCTCCTCTTCATTTGTTTTTCATATTCTTCTTCTACTTCTCCTCCTCCTTCTTCTTATGTTTATTATTATTATTAGTATTATTATTAGTATGATTATTATTCTTATTATTCCTACTATTATTATTATGATTATTACTAGTATTATTATTATTATTCGTATCCTCCTCCTCCTCCTCCTCCTCCTCCTCCTCCTCCTCCTCGTCTTCCTCCTCATCAGCCCCCTCCTCCACCTCCTCCTCGTCGCGCTCCTCCTCCTCGTCCTCCTCCTCCTCTTCTCTCTCCTCCTCGTTTTCCTCCTCCTCCTCTTCCCCCTCCTCATCGGGTGGAGGGGGGTGGGCTCAGGTTGGGGTTTGTCGATCTCTGGGGCCAGCTCAGCCGATCGGAGGCAATTGTTCTTGGGGAGTCAGAGGCAGCGTTCGAGGTTGGAAATCGAACTTCGTCGGTTCTTGGCGGCCGTCCAGTTTCGGGATGCCTTCTGGCTGCTGCGCGTGGGCGAGAGCATTCTGGGAACGCCAGAATCTTCCAGGACGGCCGCCGGATAACCGAGTTATGAACCGAAAACCAACGCTCAACCACGAGGTGGGGATTGGATCAGGGTGGAACGCATCAACCCCCAATCGCCCACTGGTCGCTGATGGGGGGCCGATGGCCCGCCCCGCTCAGGACCGTGCGGGTCCGCCATCCGTAGCCTGTCGCCGGTTTACTGGCGATGTATCGCTGATTCCAGGTCGACATTCCCCCCTTCAGCCATCCCCCACCTAGCGCTGCCCGTCGGTTTCGTGTGGTTCGGGTGTGGGGAGGGGTCGGGGATCTAGGGGGGGAGAAGCAGCCCTAGCATCCCGTTGCTGCGAAGAGATCGCGGCGGAAGTTTCCTTGTAATTGTCGGCCTCTGGGGCCCTCTCTGGGTCCCAAGCTCCTAACAAAACGGCTCAATATGAAAATCCGGCCTCAGTGAAGGTGTCGAGGAACTATGTTGCGACCTAGTCACGTCTGGGAGGAGGCGGGGGGGAAAGGGAGGAAAGGGGGAGGGACAAACTAGGTGCTCTTTCGCCTCAGTCGACATTCTATCAGTCCCTGTCATTCCTTCCCAGTGCGCTGATGTTTCTATATCCGTGGACGCGTGTCTTAGCCGAGACCTGCAATTCCAGCCTGCAGACTACATCTTATAGTATGCGCAATCAAAAGGAAAGCGGGAGCTGCGTGCACAGACGGAGGAGATGGTGGCGGGCGAGAAGGAGGATGGGAGGACGAGGACGAGGACGAGGACGAACAGCAGCACCAGGAACTGGAGTGGAAAGAGCAGGAGGAGTAGGAGGACCAGGGGAAGGCGGAGGGGAAATGAGGGCGGATCCAGAGAAGCGGCCCACGCTGGGGCGAGAGCGCCATTCTGAACGATGGGAGCAAAACGCCGATCAGAACATGGGGCTCACGCTGCAGCGGGAGCAGCATATCGAGACACCGAAAACAAGTTACTTCCAACAAACCATAAGAACACCAGTGTATTTAAACTGAGTGTGTAAAAACAGCATGTGGAGAGGGCCCGCTATGTTCTGGACTGAGTCAGGGGGAAAGGAGAACAGTATTCGTATTGTTTATTCGTAAAAGGCGGGTTGAAGGGCTGACGGGGGGAAGGGGGAGAGGGAGGCGAGTGGGGGCGGCAGGAAGGAGGAATGGGAATATGGAGGAGGAGGAGGAGGAGGAGGAGGAGGAGGAGGAGGAGGAGGAGGATGACGAGACGGAGGAGGAGGACGAGGGGAGGAGGAGAAGGAACAGGAGGAGGAGGAGGAGGAGGAGGAGGAGGAGGAGGAGGAGGAGGAGGAGGAGGAGGATAAGGAACAGGAGGAGGAACAGGAGGAGGAGGAGGCGGAGGAGGAGAAGGAGGAGGAGGGGGAAAAGGCGGAGGGAGAGGCGGAGGCGGAGGCGGAGGCGGAGAAGGAGCAGGAGCAGGAGGAGGAGGCGGAGGAGGAGGAGGAGGAGGAGGAAAAGGAAGGAAGGAAGGAAGGAAGGAAGGAGGAGGAGAAGAGAAGAGAAGAGAAGAGGGAGGAGGGAGGAGGGAGGAGGCGGCAGGGATGGGAAAAGGAGGAGGGTCGGCCTAGGCCCCAGATGGGGTCGGGGCAGATGGGGTCAGAGGATCGCGCTGCATCGCCACTGCATCGGCGATGAGTCGGGATCCATTGTCTGATTTTACGCACTCCGACGTCGCCGATACATCGACGATGCATCGGACATGCGGTGCGATACCCCGACCCCATCTGCTCCGCCACAATGTGGACTTCACCCAGTTCGAGGGTCAAGGTTCAGCCCAAACCAGGCCAAACACGCCGTTCCCCACAGCAGTCTAAACGCCCTGCTCCCGCCCGCACCTCCCCTCTCCCCATCCTCCCCCTCCCTCTCCCCATCTTCCTCCCACCTCCTTTTCCCTCCCGCTCTCCCTCTCCGCCCCGACGACGGTGATGGCGGCGGCGGCGACGGCGGCGCGGCGACGTTGTCGGCGGCGGCGGCACGGCGGCGGCGGCATCGCCGGCCGTGGCGGCAAGGGGGCGACGGCGCCTGGACCGCGGCGGGACCGCGTTGCCCTCGCGCGGCGGCGGCGGTGGCGGCGGCCCCCCGACTCGAGGAGGTGCCGGCGGGCCACCCTGCGCGGCCTCGGCGCGCGGGGCGCGGCTTCGCCGGCGGCGGGGCCTGCCCCCGCCGAGAGCTCAGCGGCCAAGGCCGCCGCCGCCGCCATCGCCGCCGCCGCCGCCGCCGCCGCCGCCGCCGTCGTCGTCGTCGTCGTCGTCGTCGTCGTCGTCGTCGTCGTCGTCGTCGTCGTCGTCGTCGTCGCGCTTTTGTCGGGTCGTCGTCGTCGCAGAGTCGAGATTCGAGGAATCAGGATCGTGGTTGTTTCTTTTTGTCTGGCCTCGGGTTGGCCTCGAGGCACGAGCGCTGGGCAACCCACCCACGGTTGTTCCCGGGGCCGCCAGGGGCGCTCTTTGTTGACAGCGTGCCCTGAGATCCGTCACGAGTCGTGGAAAACCCGACCCGATCCCTGGGTCCAATCTTTCCGAGGTATTTTTCGAGCTGGCTCGATCTGCGCTGGTCCCACAGCCCACAAGGCAGAATTGCTCGTTGCAGAACAATTGCGACGCCAGGATCTGAGTGTCCCAGGGTCCACCCATGGGAGCCTTGACATTCAGCGTGTGCGCTCGCGGGCGCGCGACCTTGCTCGTGTGTTCGATGGCTCCCGCGCCGCCTGCATCTGCGGACGGAGGCGGCCTGTGCAGGCTGAGCCTCGCCTTCGGAGCTGGCTCACAATTTGATTATGTGTGTAGTTATTCTTCTGTCCATCTTCCACGCCAGGCGAAAATTCGCCTGCGCATGTCCTGGTGTAGCTCTTCGCGACGGTACCGTCACTTCGCAGCTGAGGGAAAAAGTGTGCATATGTTTGTGTGTGTGTGTGTGTGTCATGTTTCATTCGCGCCAGTGGCGCCACTCCGCTGGCGGAAGAATAATTACGTATATCTGTGGCGTGTGTGTTTGTGTGTGTGTGTGTGTGGGGCTATTCGAGGCAAACGTTGCCCGTTGCGTCGCTTCCACGGTTTGGAGCCACCCGCGCGTTTGAGGAGCACTTTCGTTCGTGTGTTAGGTCAGTTTCGGCGCCATCGCCACTTGTGTCGCCGCTTCTGCATGCCGCCGCGTGCATGCTCGGCCGCTGCATTCTTCTCTGCTTCTCTGCTTTCTCGCTTGACTCGACCCAGTCGCATTCGGCATGAGCTTTGCAACTTATGCTGACGCATCCCGTTCGCGCAGCAGGTGCTTGTGACTCACACTGACGGGAGCGGAAACAAGTGTGTGTGTGTGCGTGTGTTTGTGTGATTAGCTTGCCAGCTGCACGTTGCCTGCATACAGGCTTCATTCCTTTCGTGCATCTCGCAATTGTTTGACCCTGCCCAGGAGTTCGCCCCTTTGGTTTGAGCGCGTTCGACGCTCGACTTCGAAAGCACTTCAGCTCGCGCGCCCGCTAACGACCAGCGGTCCCTCGGGCCATGCAGCGGCTCTCATGCTCGACAGGTCGTTGGCTTCCGCAGTTTCGTTTGTCACCTGCGTTTGGTTTCGGCGCTTGGGTGCCGCAACAAGGGGGTAACGCGAGGGAGGCGGCCTTCTAAGCAGGGGGGTGGGCTTCTCAAAAGGCAGGTGCTTTCTTAGAAGGCACTGGAGGTTTGAGAGCAGGCTTCTCGGAAACCAGGCGGACTTCAACCCCCCTTGCCTTCCCACTTGCGCCAGCCAATGTGTGTGGCCCGTTACTATTGGTATTTACGCACGCAGTGCGCATTCACACGAAAGTAAGGACCACTTGGGTTCAGGAGGGGCCATGATTTTCAGACCATTCCTTGGAATTCGTTGGGAACCGATTCGCGGCTGAGGATAATATATCTCAGGCCAGAAAGTCTCTTCGTTCTTTTATTCAGCTGATGTTCTGGATCACGATAACTGAAGTGAAGACTCGCAGCGGACATTGCAGAACGACCAGCCATTTGAGTGCTTCAGTGGCTCGCGGACTTCAAACGGCAGCCCCTGCAATGCTGGCCAGCGGTTTCCGCCTTCGCGCCCAACTGCCACGCCTGGTGGTAATTATTTCGTGAGTTGGCGTCCCTGCGATCATTCGCGACGATGCCGTCACCTCGCCAGAAGTGCGCGTGCGTGTGTGTGTGTATGTGTGTGTGTGTGTGCGTGTTGCGTGATCTGGGCGGGCCGCGCGCGTCTTCGCCCGATCTTTCTCCGCCGCTCCGCTACGCGCGTGGCCGCAACGCCAAAAAGCGCGTATATGCGCGAATGTGTATGTATGTGTCCCTGCGTGCGTGCGTGTGTGTGTGTGTGTGTGTGTATGTGTGAGTGTGTGCGTATGTGTGAGTGTGTGCGTGTGTGTGTGTGTGTGTGTGTTTGTGTGTGCAGCCCACTGATCCCAGCCGCTGCCCGCTGCTCGCCGCCCTCCGCCACTGCCCCATGAGGGTCCAGCGCCATGCCTCTTCACTTGCCTGCTTTCCAGGGCCGATCCTTGTTAGCTTAGTTGAGCCTGACTTCGCCGCCTTGAAGCGCTCGAGCGGTTTCCGCCCAGCTGCGTGCGACCAAACAGTGTGTGTGTGTGTGTGTGTTTTTTTTTGCGTGTGCATGAATGAGTGTGCGTGTGTGCTTTTGTGTGAGAGTGTGTAGTTGTGTTGGGTGTGCGTGTGTGTCGGTACGTGTGTGTGTGGCATTGGCTGATCAGCTTCAGGCGGTTGGCGGCGGCGGATCGGGCGGGGGCGGGCCCCAGCCCGGCAACAACCTCCGTGTGGGCCTCCTGAGCGCCGGCTGCTGCGCGGGCGCCGCGGGCATCGCGTACCTGGCGCAGCAGACGTCGGGAGGCTCGGCGACTGTGTCCCAGGCCCGAAGCGTACGTCTCGTCTGCCAGCTTCTTTTCGAAGAGCATGTTAGCCAGCGTCGATCCAAGACATAATGTTTCTAGCAATGCATGTGGTGCGATCAATGTGGTGTCTCCACATGGTGCAATCTGTGCGATGTGCACCGTGTTGTGCAACACATGTGGAGCAACCTATGTTCAATACATGTATACATATTATAGGTGTGTATGTGTTTGTATGTCTGTACGTACGTACGTATGTATGTGTGCATGTACGTATGTATCTATGTATGTATCTATGTCTAATGTACTTACGTACGTACGTATGTATGAATACATGCATGGATGTATGCATGCATACGCGCGCACGTATATACATAAGCATGCATACATTCACACGCATGTGTGTATGTATATATACGTATATCGTCATGCATACCCATCCATATATCCATCAAGTCGTCCATCCATCTAGTCATCCATCCACCCATCCACACATACATACATACATACATACATACATACATACATGCATACATACATACATACATTCATACATGCATGCATGCATACATACATACATACATACATACACACAAACAAACAAACACACAAACAAACATGCACACATACATACATGCATACATACATACATACATACATACATACGTACATACATACATACGTACATACATGCATACACACATTATACATACTTATCGAAGACGCCTACGGCGAATCACCGCCGCCCCCTGCCTTTTTTGGAAGCGCCTATGTGGCCGAACGTTGAGGCCAGACCTGCCAAGCTTTCGAACCATGTGTTCCCCGAATCGGTTTGGAAAGCCTTCGGGGAACACGTGGGCATCTTGAAGGTCATCTTGGCCGTCTGGTGGCCATTTTAACCCTTTCGGGCCTTCTTGCAGGACGTCTTGGAGGGCTCTTTAGCCGTCTTGGAGGCCATCTTGGGCCGTCTTGGGGGCCTCTTGGGGCCGTGTCTTGGGCCTCTTGGGCGATCTTACGGGGCACTTGGGCCGTCTCGGGCCGTCGGAAGGCGGAACATACGCAAATGCCACAATCCTTCAACAACTCATGGGAAATCAATGATTTTGGCCTTTTCAGGCCTTCCTGGGGGCTCTCTTGGAGGCCTCTTGGGCCGTCTTGGCCATCTTAAGGCCATGTTCGGCTGTCTTGGTGGGCTCCTGGTCCGTCCGACGCTGTCGGAAGCCGTTTGGGGGGCCTCTCTGAGCCGACTTGTGGCCCTCTTGGAATGCTCCTGGGCCGTCTTGGAGGCCATCTTGGGCGTCTTAAAGGCATCCTGTGCCATCTTGGGGGCCTCTTGGGGCCGTCTTGGGGCCCTCTTGGGCCGTTCTGGGGCCATCTTGGAGGCCTCTTGGGCGATCTTTCGGCGATCTTTGGAGGCTCTTGGGCCGTCTCGGGCCGTCGGAAGGCAGAAAAGAAGGACATGTCACAATCCGTCAAACAGCGCAGGAAAATCAATGTTTTTGGCCTCTTCTGGCCTTCCTGGAGGCCCTCTTGGGGGCCTCTTGGGCCCTTTGGGCCAGCTTCGAGCCAACTTCGGCCACTTTGGTGGGTTCCTGGCACGTCTGACGCCGTCGGGAGCCGTCTTGGGGGCCTTTTCTGGGCCAAAGGGTGACCCTCTTGGGGCGCTTCGGGGCCGTCTTGGAGGCCATCTTGGGCGCCTTGGAGGCTCTCTTGGGCGTGTTGGAGGCCTCTTGGGCCGTCTTGGGGCCCTCTTGGGGCCGTCTTGGAGGCCACTTGGGCCGTCATGGGGCCCTCTTGGGGGCCTCTTGGGCGATCTTGGGGGCCTCTTGGGCCGTCTTGAGCCGTCGGAATGCCGAGAAGAAGCAAATTCCAAAATCCTTCAAACACCTAAGGAAAATCAATGATTTTGGCCTCTTCGGGCTCTCCTGGAGGACCTCTTGGAGGCCTCTGGGGCAGTCTTGGAGGCCTCTGGGGGGCCTCTTGGGCCGACTTGGGCCGTCTTGGACTCTCTTGGGCCGTCTTGGAGGCCGTCTTGGACCATCTTGGGAGGACTTGGAGGCCATCTTGGACCATCTGGGAGGCCATGTTGGGCCAACGTGGCCATCTTGGCACCATCTTGAGCCATCTTGGAGGATTTGTTTCCGGATTGAGCACCTTTCCGGGTGGCCGGCGGGACGGGCCGAAGCCCCAGGGGGAGTTCTTTTGGAAAAAAAACCAAAACCAAAACCGAGAGGATCTAGCACGCGAGGCCCCCCTGCGATGAATCGACACGGGCCGGCGGATAGAATGGCCTTGGCCTATCCCGCCACCGTGCTTGGTTTGTGGGTATAAAGCCTATTGAATGTTCGGTTGGGATTTCGTGGGGGCCTCTCGGGGGCCTCTTGGAGGCAGTTCATACGTCTCTCGGGCGCATTGGGTCCTGTTTGGGGCCTCCTGGGAGCATCGTGTGGCCTCTTGGGGGCCTCTAGGGGGACTTTTGGGGCCTCCTGGCCTCTTGGGGGCCTCTTGGGGCAGTCGGCTCGGATGTTCGGTTCGTGCTCCCTCTCTTGGGCTCCTGTTGGGGCTGTCTTGGGGCCCTCTTGGGCAGTCCGAGGTGCCTCTTGGGCCGTCTTGGGCGCCTCTTGGGCCGTTTTGGGGCCCTCTTTGAGGCCTCTTGTGCCGTCTTGGGGATTCTTGGGGGCCTCCTTAGGGCCATCTGGGAACGTCGGGAAGCCGAAAGGAGAGAAGGCCAAACACCTTCGAAAACCACCGGAACATCAAGGATGTTGGCCTCTTGGGCTTCTCTTGGGAGGCCTCTTGGAGGCCTCTTGGGGGCCTCTTGAAGCGTCTTGGAGGCATCTGGGCCGTCTGGGGGCCCTCTTGAGCGTCGTGGAGTGATCGGTCGGCGATTCGGGGCCCTCTTGGACCGTCTGAGTGGCCTCTTGGGGCCCTCTTGGCCCGTCTTTGGGTCCTTTTGGAACCGAACAAATCATGCGACAAGATGCGCCGAAGCCCGGGGGGCACGTGGGAAACCCTTGTAGATTTGAGAATTTGGGATCCGGGCCCTGTCATGACTCGTCAGGACTGAGGACTGAGGCTCCAGGGATTCGGCAACGGGCTTAAGAATACGCCCGCTCCGTGCCCAGAGACACGTGGCGGATAATTCCGTATAGTGTAGTCAATCTATTTGGTGCAATCTATGTTGTGCAAGTAATTTCTCTTCGCAGTGAGTTGTCAATTCCACTGCTCGCGCAATCATCCCACCCACCCACCCGCAACTTGTTTTGCAAAACACGTGCCGCGGCGATTGCGATAAGTGCTGGGTGTTGGTTGGGGCATTGCTGCGGCCGCGCTGGCCCGCGCATGCTCGCGCGCGCAGCGGCCAGCTAGTTTGGCGCGATCGACAAGGCCGCGGATGCGCTGACCTCTTCCCGGCGGGGACTTCAGTGCGAGTCGGCGATTTGGGCGGGCGCGGTATCATGGCAACGTCGACAACGGTTGACACAATGATGATTGTAGCGCCGCTGGTGCCGATGATGACAACGGCGACGGCACGGCCAGTGACGGCGCCGATGCTGATCACGCCGGCGACGATGACGGCGTCTTCGCGTCGGTGATGGATGTGTTGGAAGGATTTCGACATGCACGCGCGGCGGACGCGCGAGAATAGCCCGCATGGTATTTTTGTTGACACGGGTCGTGCCCCCCGTTTTGCGCGAATGCAGAGGTTGTCGAATGATGTCGCCATGCGGCGCGAAAGGCCCGTTTGGAACATGGTAAAAACCAGTTGGCGTTTTTCAAATTCGCAAGAGCGCCAGAAAATTGGTTACAAGCCGTGTGTGGTTCTTCTGTTTTCGGGCCGTCGGTTTTGAATTCTTTACGGCACCCAAAGTTGTTTAAGTTCGGCATGCGCGCGCGACGACGCGTGCGTCTGATTTTCGTACCGTTTTTCACCTGAGATCTTTTGTGGCCGCACGCGCGCAAGGGCGTTCGAGCGATTCCAACGTTTTCGCGATAGCTTGTATGATACGGTTGAAACATCTATGGTTTCCGAAGAACGCGCAAGAACACGAACGCCATTTTGTTTGTAACATCTTCGGTCGGTTTGTATTATTTGTTCTTGTTTATTCCACAGTCCACAGTTTTTGTGTATTGAGTTCTATATACATGTGCACATACAAGAATATAAATATACAAACGACTACTACTTGTAACTCTTGTCGGGACACTCGATTTTGAAATCCGTACGACACCGACGGTGTTCGAAGGATTTTGATGTGTGCGCGCGACGACGCCGCGCATACCATTGATTTTTTTGGTTACAGTGCAGCTTTAATTGGTTTCGGAATTATTTCTGTGGTGCGCACTGTATGCAATTACATCAATAATTGTGTCGGGAATTAATAATGTAGGCTCGAAATATTGCCAAGAGCATTTTGGTTATGCATGTCTATTGAGTTGGGAAGTTAGAAAGGAATTCGATAAGGAATTTCCTGAGTTAGAAAGGAATTTGAATACCAGAGATAGTTCTGAACCTCAAAGACAATCGAGTCCGAATTGCCCGAGGAAGCCAGGGCCAGGAGGGGAAAAAGGAGTTAGAAAGGAATTCGATAAGGAAATTCAAGAGTTAGAAAGGATTTTTTTTACGACGCCGAGAGGTCTGAGCCAGGAAGGAAAAAACGAGTTAGAAAGGAATTTGATAAGGACATTCAAGAGTTAGCAAGCAAGGAATTTCGTTTTGGGGGTTGTTTTTTTTGTTTTGTTTTTTTTTTAAGACGCCGGGAGGTCTGGGCCAGGAAGGAAAAATGAGTTAGCGCAGACCTCCTGGCGTCGTAAAAAAACAAATTTAGCGCAAAAAAAACTGAATTCCTTTCTAATTCTTGAAATCCCTTATCAAATTCCTTTCTAACTCCTTTTTCCTTCCTGGCCCAGACCTCCCGGCGTCGTACAAAACAGAAAAAAAAAAAACGCCGCGCGAAAGCTTCGTCGCAGCTACAGCTACAGCTACAGCTACAGCATTAATTGCTCAGCGAATTATTTACTGTAGCACCCTACAGTACAGTTACAGCATTAATTGCTCAGCGAATTATTTCTGTTAGGGAAAAAAATCAATGGTAGTTTCCTTGGCGGGGGATGAGGGGCGGTCCGTTACCGGCCTGACTGGGATGGTACGAGTTCGCCTTTCGGATGGACGAAAAGGGACAATCAATTGTGAATTGCAATGCGGAAGAGGGGTGGGCAAACATCGGGGGGGGGGTAATTGCTTACAGAGGGTCTACGTGGTGCAGCCCTTGTTGCGACGACGATTTGGGCGTCGGGGCGGCGACGGCGGCCACATAGCCGCCAACCCACCGTCAGGCCCAGACGACGGGCGGCGACGAGGCGGCGACGGCGGCCGCATGGCCGCACACCGACCGCGAGGCCTAGTTCCTTAGAGCAGAAGTAAGAGCCTCTGAGTGCAAGCGCTGCTCGGGGACAAGCAGCATGAACATTTACACGCCAGTCGTTGGAATAGGTGTTTTTGGAGATCCAGGCCCCAGTCTTGTTCAACCGCCTTCCTATTTCAATAGCCGATCTGTGTTTGTTATTCTTTGTTTCCCTCCTTGGGCGGGCCCGAACCCACTTTTACTTATTCCGCCTTCCTGCTTCATGTGTCCACCTGCTTCTTGCGACTGGCCTGTAATATTTCTGAGGTTTGCGCGGATTTCTGGAGTCGGCGCTGGACTCCGCCCCTCTGGACTTAGCCTCCTATCAGGAGAGGCCGAGTCCAGACGGCGCAAGCCCAGAGAGAGAGACCGAACTTTCCGTATGCACCTACTCTGTATGGGCTTAGTTTCCTATCAGGATGGCTGAAGTGGACCGAGACTGAGCACCACGCGTGGACCTACTCAGCCTCCTCTCCTTTCTTGGATCGGCGCTGGGCCCCCCTCCCTGGCGCGCGGAGCGTTCCAGGCGCGGCGCGCGAGGAGCGTTGAGCCCCTCCGGCGGCGCCTCGGCATGCCGGCGAGGGGGTCCAGGGCCGATCCAAAAAAATTCGGAGGGTGCTGAGTCCATACGGAGTAAATCCACACGTAGTGCTCGGTCTCCGTCTGGGCTTGCTCCGTTTGGACTTAGTCTCTCCTGAGGGGGTCCAGCGCCGATCCAAGAAATCCGTGCGGACCTCCGCCTTTGTTTTGTGGTAGCGGGGATCTCCAAGGGCGTAGTTATTTCTTCACTCTCGTCACCCCTCTCGCTCTTCACAAGTTAT